AAAGTTTTGTTGATTTTTCCCCGTTGTCTGTTTCATTGCGTTTGCCATTCTCAGCAACTATCGTGTTACCGCCGCTCTGCGAAGTTTGCAAGCATGGAACAGCTTCTTTTGATATGTATTCCAATGAATTTAATTGTAAAATACTGTACAGAAGAATGACTCAGTTCCATGATGAAATATCGGAGTTTTGTAACTCGTGATGACAAGATACAGAAACTTCAACTTTCTTTCCGTTCACTACTTACAAATTTGTACTCGGGCCCGATGAAGCTAAAATAAAATAACATATATTGGATATTATTTAGAATTTGGTTAACATATCTATTAAACTTTGAGTTTAACAATAAATCATAAAAAAGGGAATAAAAAGTCATCATCAGCGAAGGTAATAGGACAAAAACGAAAACGCTTTATATCCTGAGTTAACAATTACGAAATGGCCTAGCTATATACGTCAACGATAACGGTTTATCAGTTATTGAAAATTAGTAACTGAACCAAGCAAGCAGTAAATGAGAAAAAAAAATAAAACAAATATAATTCACAGCAAATACAACAATGCTCATATATTACCCTAACTACCCTACCTTTACCCTAATTGTACCAAACGAGGCCGAATACCACAATGAATAAAGATACTGAATAAAGCAGACGAGGCATAAAATACACAAACCTCATGTTTGTTTAGACAAAAATAAGGGAAGTTACGCGCGACACAACAGCGAAATTTGCCAAAACTGGTAACAATCAACGAACAAAGTCTCTCACAGTATTTTAAATATAAAAACTGTACCTTTCTTTACTGACAGGGATTGAGGTGAGTATAAAACACAGAGAAGGAAATTTTTTTAAAGACTAGGTAAATGGAGTAGCTTCCCCAGGTTTGATATCTCCATTTTTATAAGCCCATGTATCGTATACATTCTTTCTTCCCTCGGCTATTTCACTTGGATATGGATTAGTCACGAGTTGTGCGGCTTCAAATACGGCATTCTTTATACTTGGAGAACCACCACCACTAAAACTATAACCCCCTCTAATGGAGGAACCAACGTTTAGGTAGGCAACAGATCTCGAACCCAAAACTCTCTGAAACTCCTGTAGAAAGCGTTTTGAATGTTTTCAACTCCATGTAGTTGCTTAATATTCTTTAAAATTGTTATAGTATAGCACATTTCAACGCCTTATAATTACTTTTAAATGGATAAATGTGACCGAAAATAATCGGAAATAATCATAGAATCTGAGTTTGTTGCTCGATATTGGAACACTGGACTTATATCTAATATATTTATAGTCCTGTGTTCAGCTTTTTAGTAAATCCAAATATATTAGTCATCAAGTTCCAAATTATTTTTGATTTACAAAACAGCGTTAGCCGAAGAAAATTATTTAAGACTACACTTCGTATAACTCAATTTATTCTAGGACGTGTTTATATACATGAGGTGTCTGAAGAAATAATACTATTAGTAAAACACACTTCAACCCATTCAGCAGATCCGATCAATCCATATTCCTCAGCTCCCCAGCTGCAAAATACAATTGTTCGGCGGGGTTTCCATCTATTCCTTACTGCCGCACCAATTGCCCTAAAAGGTTCCAGCATTGCAGCAGTTCCAGATGATGGATCTATAGAGCCGAAAACCCATGCATCTCGATGGTTTACGAAAAGCACGTATCGATCTTTTTTAAAAAGGACAAATAAAACAGCCAAACGATTGTAAAACCATAATTAGAATGAGCAAGCTTGTCCATGAGACATATTTTCCGTCCGATCTCTTCGCATGGCAATTTATGCTTGTTTCATCCATCTCATGGCATGGCAATTCCTCGGCCAATCATGGTAAATAATCTTAAATGAAAATATGTGTGCATCTATATCAGGAGTGGACAAGGTTTTTGAACAAGGGGCCAAAAATTTTGCCTACCTGGACTGGCGGGCCGTGTAAGTGTGACGTAAAAAGTTACATTTTATGAACAATATTTACAGTGTTACAAAAGCAACAGTGAAAAACAACAACCCTCGTGCCAAATCTAAATTCAATCACAATCTCAACAAATTCCGTGTCAGATTTGGCCCGCGGGCCGTACTTTGCCCATGTCTGATCTATATGGTATCCCGCCCTAACAAAAAATTTAGATATATACATCTTTTGGAAGGTAAAAAGTATAACAGTCAGGGACATAGATTACGTAGTAATATTGCCATTGAAAATATCTTGTGTACTTTCCCATACCACCCACCTCATGGGACGTTTTCCGCGCTATACCCATGGGAATGATGATCCCATGTTCAAGAATGAAAATGGATGACAACAATTGAGAAATTGGCTGATTTCCTGTCCGCACAGCTAAAGCGTGAACTCAAGAAACCACGAATATCTGTTCTCAAACAGATCAAAACAATAAATTAAAGAAGGCCATCCAATCCGATGTAAATATTTTGTTATTCTTGTGGGTATCGGAAGTTTTATAAATTCATGGAATGTTTTCACGGCCTAATTCAATTGATAGGGCCTGCATAAAAAGCTTTTACATACTGAAAGCATTGTTCACGCAGTTTATTTCACCGTGAACAAGGTGTGTTATGTGCAACCATTAGGCTTGAATAGACACTCAGATTCAATTGCAATGCATGACAATTAATACAATGTTTGAATTTGATGTTTTATATTGCCCAATAAAGTTTGTAATTTTTTGTTGCTACTTCAATGTGAATTCCAACGATTAAAAAGCATATCGTATGACATAACCAAGCAATGCTTTGCTCGTGGACTGTTTTTAAACAATATCAGAGAAATATCCTCATCGACATATTTTTGACTTTTCGAACTCTTTAAATCTTTGAATGTGTCAAATTTGTATTTTGAAAATTCATGTGCAAAATAGAGAGAGCAATTGCCTTTCTCCCTTCAGCAAATAAATTACACATACTAGGTAAGACAAAGTTTGAACTCACTTAGCAAATTTTATTGCTATTATATCTTCCGTTGTTTCCTGTAAGCCTTCGTTTTATTGTGTCGGATTTTTTGATCCCAGAATACTCGCTTCATTTTTAATTATCTCAATTATGGTTGATCTCCAACACACTTTTAAAACTTGAATGATCCTTTTTAAGGGAATGCTGTTATATTTAAGTGTACAATTCTAATATATTCGCATACATGTGGATGGAAATATTTTGAAATATTAAGAGGGTATGCAAACTCCACTATATGGAGTCTACTCGCAATCAGAACTCCATAATATTATAGACTGAACTTCTAACGTAGCTTCTTAATAACACTCTATCACATTGGTTCTCAAACTGTGGTCCGCGGTCGCTTAGAGGTCCGCGAAGCGATTTTAGGGAGACAGTGAGACAACTTAAAGCTCGCACTTTGATTTGAAGTAAAATTTTGATGTCATACTTTTACAGTGTTTATCCAAATCACGACAGGCTCTACTGAGGACATTATTACGTAACCAACGTTCTTGAACGTGGCAAGTACCGTAAATCAGAGCTTATTGTTTATGAAAGGCGTGTGCATCTGATTGTCAACTTTTTCGGGGTAATTTAAAAATTAATGTCAATGTCAATATTTTATTGTCAGTCAGTAGATGAATCAATGTCAATATTTTGATGTCAGTCAGTAGATGAATGCTTGATATACCGCGTTGCTATTTGCTTTCATTTTTTAGTGGACCGCGAGTCACTAAAAAAATTGCAAGGGGACCATTATGCATAATTTTTCAAAAAGTTTGAGAACCACTGCAGTCTATCATGTCTGCATAGCAACTCAACAGAGACTTCAAAATAGGTCACACAAAATCTTGAAATAGTGCCCCGACCTGACGTCTTCAATTTTGTTTTCAAATAAGCAAAAACAAGAAGCTTATAACTTTGAATGCGCTTGATTTTGTTACAACGAACAATTATGGTTAATACAAAGTGAAGATATACCTATTAGGCAAATTTTACCTAATTGTAGAAATGTTGCGATTTTTGGTAATAAATAAGTCTCATTATAATATGTCATCCCGCTTTTTGATTTGATTTTTTCTGAGAAATCTATTCAGACTATGTCAAGTCGCTCACTTTTAATTACATTTAAATTGCAAGAAGGTACTGACATTAAATGTTGCACAATACTCACCGCCTTTATTTCATCCATTATCATTTTACTCTCTTATAATTTTTTGGTTACATTGAGTCGCCATAGTTTTAGCTCTTTAAAAATTAAATTTTTATAGTTAATATTAAATAGTTTGTAAATTGATTAATTAATTATACGATCATCATTGTCGATAAACTTTAAACAACAGTGACTAGGCAATATCTGATTACACGACCTATGTGTGTCACTATGCTACAGTTTAATATGAAATATTAGATTTAATAAGTCTTTAAATTTTTAAAACTAATTTTAATAAAGATAGAATAAAATGCGTGATAAATAACAAAACAACATGGAGCTCAGCAAACCAAGTAGACAAGCCCACCCTAAAATTATTCATAATGCTGTTCAATATACTTTCCACAAAGCAAACATATTAGATCGAGGAACAACCTTCAATGAATTTGAATCAACAATTCAAAATCAACAGTTCAATGAACTTAAAAACTCGTCTGCTGTACAGTATCATTTTTTCTATTGTTGCAATAAATGCTTCTTGATTTGATACATTGGGTATAAAATTTTGTTTCGTTTGAGCATATAAGGCCATTGAAGTAGAAATATAGATGTCGACAACATGAGGATGCCTGTTGATGCAAATATTTTGGAATATTGAAGGGAGAATGCAAACTCCACCACGGAGTCTACTCGCAATCACAATTCCATAATATTATAGGATGTCTAACGTAGCTTCTTAAAATCACTCTATCATGTCTGCATAGCAACTCAACAAATACTTCAAAATAGGTCACAAAAAATATTTAAATAGTGCCGTATATCCATTCGTGCTTGGTTGTTGTTAGATCTAATTTTATATTTCTGATGAAACGCCGCACCTCCAAGAGCTTCTGATCAGGTTTTAAAATTAGTTTCAATATCCGTTTCTGCTTTTAAAATGCTATTAGGTTTCTATCTATCTTATGTCAATCAATATGGATTCAGCAAAAGTTATCCTCTCTAATTTTCTATTTCACTGTGTATACTTAGGCCTGCTGAAGGGATTCAGTGCTTAAGGTTATCAACAGTTGCTTTAAGGCCTAACCTTAACCTGGTACACATACTACGTTCCGGTGTCCGTGATCTGGGTTCACATACTACGGGATTACCTTTTAAATTTTATGTAGATTCATTTGGGAATCATTTTACAAATATATATCACAAAATTACATTGAGTCAACTCGTTTTAGTTTCACTAAACGTTTGAATATCCCTTGATTGGTACAACATCTCTCAGTGTCGATGACGCCGAACCGATGTGGTATAGGAGGATAGCATATTGCCGACGGACCTGAAAAGAAAATATTTTTCAGCTTTCATATTATTATAGTGTAATTCTATTTTTTAAAGGTAATAAAATTGCAGAAATAAATACCATTCATATACAAATTCAGGTAAGTTACCTTTTCCCATCTTGCATCTCGATCTGGGTCAGCGTTGATTTCAAACATCGAGTCAACAAGTCCAGGGAATGCTGCTCCTCCATACGTATTGTGGAGACTTGGAGCGTATATCACGTGACTAAATAATATATATAATCACACAAATAAAGAAAGTTCCCAACGAAAAATAACTTTTACAACAATGTATGTACTTATGAACGTCTTTTCAGAATGGAAGAAAAAATGTTATTACCTAAACTGGCTCCTTCCTTCTATTCCTTGTTTATCGATGAATGCTTGTTCAAGTTGCATAAGTTGATCATTGATTGCTCTCACGGCTAGTGCACTGAAAATACATATATACATATGATATCGACATCAGATCTGTTACTCCATCAAGCACTCATTACAAGTTACAGAAAGAGTTTACCCAGTTTGAGTTTGATCAAGGGTTTTATTTTCTACAATAAAATTGCTTCAGTGCGTAAATCTTAATTAAATTACAAAACAAGGTTATGCCTAAACTCCAATTTTTAATAAGGACAATAATTATAATGAAAGCACGACAACCTACTGGAGATCCGCCGACGTTCGCTGCAAACGAGATTCGCTGATATGTGTTGGCGGAACCGCCGTCAGGTGTGCAAATTTTAATGACATCATAGCCCACGAAACAACTAATTTCATAGAGCTCACAGGAATATTTGAAATAAATAAAATATAGACTTCTTGCGAAAAATGCAATCTTTAATCACTTCAACGACTAGTAATTTCAAATCATTCGTTTCATTAATTTAAAGAGAAAGGCAATTTTTTTCGTAACAATAGGAAGAAGAATAAATAATAAATAACAAGCAGAACAACAATAACAAGACGATCTATAGGTCCACTCCGTTTCCTACAAAGGCGCAATTTCAGCTATGTCACGGTTGGTTCGTTGGAAGGAGGATTGGAAGCAGATTAACGTCGGAAGTCGGATAATCAGTGAATCGCGCTTCGTTTAGATAAACATAGTGTTAAATAATATACAGTCATCTTACTCTGTCAGATCGAGATTGTTAATTCTTTTATGAAGATTTGTTGCTGCTGTGGTAAAGTTTGCGACGGCGTCGTCGAGTAATGCTGAAATGACCAAAGTGGAGAAGACATATATAATTTATGAGTATGTTTGAGTTGTTCGTGAACACAAAACATTACAGCGATTGGCAGAATTTCTAACATGGATTTGAACAGCAAAATTATCAAAATTAGTCTATATCATAAAACTGGTAAATGTATTTACTTGGATCCATGCAATGATCAGTCAGATTTTGTTTAAAAATATTCAGCATTGCGTTTTTATCAGCATTCATTTTTGTTGCATAATCTACAGCGCTCAAAGGCAAAACTGGCGAGTCCGCCAAATTTCTTGTCAATTCCGCTAAAACTCTTGCCGCTGCTTGATGATTGAGGAAATTTGGATCCACAAAATTTTTAACAAAATCGAATGTTTCATACACGGAATGGTACACTGGATAGCCGGGGATACCAATTCTCTAAAAAAAAAATCAATTCATTATAGGTTTTTCTCACATTTTTACAGAAAAAAAAATATACAACTACTTTAAATTAAATATCTATTGACATCTAAAATAAATTTGTCATTTTGAGATTTACTCACCGAATCAAATATGTAATTTGCATTCATTACTGTAGTGCCAGTGAGCTGCAAGAACATTGTGTAGTCACTACCTGATCCAAGTGTTGAAAATCTGCAAATTTTACAAAATAGGGTCGCGATGAATAAGTATAAATATAACAAAAATTACTGGAATGTCTAAGTCTTGGAAACAAATAGTAAACTGGGATGCTTACTCAGGTTCGTTCCCTCCATTTGTATAAGCCCATGTATCGTATACAGTTTTTCTTCCCATGGATATTTCATTTGGGTTAGGATTAGTCACGAGTTTTGCTGCTTCAAAAACTGCATTCTTAATACTTGGAGAACCGCCAGCATCCAAACTGTACCCTCCGTTAACAAGCGTATCAGCATTAATGTATGCAATTGATCGTGAACCCAAAACTTTCTGAAATTCCTGTAAAATTAAAAATTGATAATGCTTTTTGAATATTTTAATTTTTAATCCCATAATTTTTAAAAATTGTTTTTAGTCTAAAATATTTTTCAATGCTGCATAACTACTTTTGAACACTAACATTAGTCAAATAATCATAAAATGGGAGTTTGTTGCTTGATATTGGAACACCGAACATGCATATACGCACAGTTCTATGTTGACGAGTTGACTCTAGTTTCAAATCAAAATATAATAACTATATATATGTTATGATGCAAAAAATAGGTTTCATCTAAAAACTGCTTCCGCGTTATTTTGGATCAACGCGTCCCGTGAAATATTACCGAATCAAAAATAATGCGGCAAAAACTTGAGGTATCTCATGGATGAAGGTAATTGATGATATGTCTCAATAATATATTTCAATTGAACATACTTCAACCCATTCAGAAGATCCGATCATTCCATATTCCTCAGCTCCCCAGCTGCAGAATACAATTGTTCGGCGTGGTTTCCATCCATTCTTTGCGGCCGCACCAATTGCTCTCGAAATTTCCAGCATAGCAGCAGTTCCTGACGATGGATCCATGGCACCAAACACCCATGCATCTCGGTGGTTTCCAAAGAGTACGTATCGATCTGTTACAAATGAAGGTCCAATTATTTTAAAATCAAAAATTAAATACACATTTCAATTGCCATATTGACTGATTTCCCGGCTTGAAACTGTGAACTGTTTGAAAAGTACTAACCCATAAAGGTTTATCTGTTCATCGAGCTTGGATATTTGTCATGTAAAAAAATTAATTAAGTGTACAATAATAAATTAAACATACCAGGTTCAATAGTTCCTCGAATATAACTGATAACATTATGAGCTGTTTTTCTTTCATTTGCGGTTGTAACATGCATTGACATCTTACTAGAATGAAGCGTAAAATTTAGGATTTGCAAAAACAAAAAAATATGAAAAGCTAATCAAAAATTCAAAATAAAACTGGTTGCAGAAATATTAAAAATTCTAAATAAACAATAAAAATAAATAATTCTGTTTGTCGATAATCGTATATTAACGATAGAGTATTATTTTTTTCCATTTATTATATTGTATTGTTAGTTACCCAGTTCCTACCTAGAAATACTCGTCTAAATAATGAATAAATAATGCTCGTTGAAAAAACTATTTGAGTGCAATTCCATCAAAATTATTCTACTGTCCTTGATTATTTAATCAGAAACGTACCTTGTGGTATGCTTTCCTTGGAACCCGGGTCCGTATCTATATGTTATATTCAAACCTCCTTTCCAACTTTCTTCCACTTCTTCGCCTCCCATATGCATCAGGTACATTATTGCGTCATCATATCCAACAGGTGTCACAGGTATTCTTGGAAGATTCGCATCTTCTTCGTTTATTCTCCACGCAGTGTCTGTAAATGATTGATATTGTGCTATTATTATTATTTGAAGTAGCATAAGTCCAAATTGTATCACAGTACTGGCTAAAGAATTGACATTTTTATACTATTTACGCGAAATCAAATACCAAGTTCTATATAAAACGAGTTCATATAAGTTCAGACTAACAACGTTCGTTGCAATATGCAGACACAAGAGTTGCGCAACATCGAAATGGAAGATATTGAAAATTGGTATTGCTTCTGACGCTTATATCGCCGGTAGTATAAAGAATTTAGAAATCGAGTTAATTTTACCTATAGATGGATAATGCATAGTGAGAGGATCTCCTTCATCTTTGAATAATGTCCCACGTTGTGCCCCAGTTCCTGGCAAATACCAAGTATCGGGATAGACTCCTTGTCCCGCCACTGCATAATCCGCCGGGTCGGAATATAATATTAATCCTGCACATTTGTATTGTCCGGCGTGTAATGCTGGCAATTAGAGAAATGTATACATTTAATTGAAGAAATTTATAAATTCGTATAATTTTAATAAAATTTGGGTTTATCATGATATTAGAAAATATCAGAGATAGTTTATAATATTGATAAGAATAACATTTATTTAGGTATATTTAAGTCAGAGTATGATGTTATAAAAATGTGCAGTGTTTTGAGTAAAGAATTGTTTGAACATCGTAGAAACAACATTCCAAGATAAATGAAATTAAAAAAATTCGAAAAAATTTTAAACGTGCAACAAATGTGACTTTATGTGAGAAATTACCTTTATCTCCTCTAAATATTTTTCCATAACGAGCTATGCAGATTTTTCCAGTAAGATCGATAGACTTAGTTCTATTGATGAAGATGAAGTCCTGGATTGTGCCATAATTTACGTACACAATATCCCCCTGCAACAATGCAAAAAATAGGGCAATTAAAATATAGTAATATACAGTTGAAGGGTTTTGGTATTTTCGTTGTTGTTCCTATGCTTGTTCTTTGACACGTTATAAAAAAGTCGCTTTTCTCTCGGATTACTGGACCAATTGCTTCGAAATTTTCCGTGGTTGAAGATGAATTTTTTTCCACAAGGCTATTACTTTCATTTATTTCGAAATTTCCTATGAATCCGATGAGATCTGCTATTTCATTCAAAATTTCACTGTTTTAACTTTTACGCATGGGAACATTGTTTTGGCATTTATTTCAAGCAGTTCCGCCAAACGTGACGGCTGCTTCTGAAAATCCTTACTACTGAAAACTTTTTTGAAGGTACCGGTAACGTTAAAGGTAAGTACTGCTTCGCTCTGGTTTACGTGTCCATATATTTGAAGATTGCTCTCTTGTTTGAATGGTGATAAAATTAAAATCAGATCGAGAAAATACTGTTGAATTAGAAAAAAATGTTTTTAACTGATAATTAATTTCGAATAACAATATAATCTTTGTCCTAATGGAACTACCCAGTGTCAAATATTTAAAATAGTCAGCTAGACTAAAATGCACACTTTGAGATATTAGATGTAACATTACCTTCGTATGTATATTTCACGGTGGTCTATTTGATATATAAAATTACCTGTCAGATAATTACGGCTAAAGAAAATTAAGAATTTGATACCTCTGGATCACCTTTTGCGGCATAAGCATTGAACGGATTGACCACGCCTGGTTTATCTTGTGAGGGATCCAATATAGCTTCGGTTGGATGACTTTTACTAACAAGAGTTCCTGTGAAAAAAGATTTTCCGAGAATCATTATCTATCAATCAGAAATGGAATTCATTTTTATATGCCTTAGTTCAATCATGTGTGTTACCAAGTGCACAAAATCAATTGACCGAATATGGTTCTCAGCTTAAAAAAAAACTTGCTAAGGGGATGTGCCAAAGTACAATAAATTAATTAGCATATTCAATAATTTAGGCAATTTGAATTACTCACCATTTTTTAATTTTATCGCAAGGGAATTAGAATCTTCCTGATTCGGATAAGACAGCAATACGTTATATGGATGGATTTCAACAGTTAGGCCAGAATCTCGCCAACTGTTTGCTACAAATTCTACGAGCTCGACCTCATCGACATCTCTTCCGGCTATATGTGGTTTTGCAGTCAATTTCCTGCAATACATGTACGAATTAGAATAATTCTGCATATTCTCGTAACCACGTTGAGAATGAGTATGAAATACGGCGTCTGATTAAGATTTGTTATCAATTTCTTTGGGGCAAAAAATATAATCTTTCGATTTGAAATATGCAGTAAAGGCTTTCTCTTTATCGGATGTGTCTCAGAAAAAATGGCTGCCATGTTTCTTATATCCATCGTTAGCATTGCATTTTCAGAACCTATATATCAATAAGAATTTAAAAGAATAACATTAAGATCAGTGCGAAAATAAAAACAATGTACATTTTAATTACAAGAAGGTACTGACATTAAATTTTGCTCAATATTCGCCGCCTTTATTTCATCCATTATCATTTTACTCGCTCTCGTATCTGCTTCCGATGTTTGATGACTCGAACCACCACCCCTACCAAAATAACCGATGATCACTCCAATACTCAGACTAATAACAGCTGCGACCACAGAAAGAATTATAACTCTTCGGTTACATTGAGTCGGCATAGTTTTAGGATTTCTAAAAATA